CTCTGGTTTGCCACCTTCCAGTTTAAGATACTTGGCTTGATCAATATATCTCATTAAATATCTCTCATTAATTAAAAATGTGGGTGATTAATGCTATCCCGGTTTAATACACTGATGATTTTGACATCGAAGTGGAACACACTTAGAGAGTATGTAAGAATGATGCAGTATAACATCAGGTGAGTTGCTCAATGAAGTCTCTTGCGGATGATGCAGTGCTTGGAATAAACAACGTAGTTGAGTTCACTGAATTAGTTCACAAAACCTGTGGACTACAGTGGTACCTTGGTTTGCAACTGTTTTGGATTACAACCACGTCAAATCCTGAAGTGTGTGTCCCTTTTTTGGGAATACAATCTATTTTTCCCCCCCAGAGGGTTGGAGGAGCACCAGAAATAGCTTGTGCGCATGTGCACGGGCCTCCTCTGACCCGGATGTGCACTGGAAATAACACTTGCGCATGTGAAAAGAATGCTTATGCGTATGCACAAGCTATTTCCAGTGCTTCTCTGATCCAGAAGTGGGCAGCCATGCAGCGCAGCATGGGTAAGAGCGGGTGGAGGCAGCGGGTGGTGGGGGTTGCCGCGGGCCAGATAAAGTAGTCCCTCGGACCTTATCCGGCCCACGAGCCTTCAGTTTGGGGACCCCTGGTCCATTCCATGCACATATGCATTCATTCAAATCAGATGAACACTTGGAAAAGGCTGGGGCCACGTATGAAATGCAGCAGTGATTCATGTGGAATCTGAGCAACCTATCTTCTGCCTCATCATTTGGAGCATCATAAAATGCCATCTCACCTTCTGAAGGCTGGTAGTAGGCGTGATGAGATGGACATATTGCAACACGAGTGCATGATCTGACCATTGGGAAATGTCATCTTAAAGAATAACAGCAATTAGGATGCAAGGGAGAGAAGAATCCATATTAGAACTCCTTCCAGGTGACGTGGCAATGGCAACTGAACTAGCTGGTGACAAAAAAAAGGGAGAAAAATTAATGGAGGTGCAAACATCTATCAATATCTATTAGTGAGATCTAAATGGAACTGCCAAGTTCAAAGGCAGTATAAGAACATTAGAAGAGCCAAAATATGCAGGGATTTATGATATGTAAAAAGAACCAAGGAAAGAGAAGATGGGAAGTCATTGATATCTTAAGGATGTAAAAATGAGTACAGTAGTACCTCGGTTTAAGAACAGCCCTGTTTACAAACTATTCGGTATATGAACTCTGCAAAACCAGAAGTAGTGTTCTGGTTAGCAAACATTACCTTGGTCTACGAATGGAAGCTGAACGGTGGAAGGATGCAAGCGGTGGGAGGCCTCATTAGGGAAAGCACACCTCAGTTTAAGAACAGCTTTGGTTTAAGAACGGACTTCCGGAATGGATTAAGTTCATAAACCAAGGTACCACTGTACTTTAAATTGTAAAACAGAAAATTTAATAAAAATTATAAAAAGACATTAGAAGTGCGCTGTCTTCAGTAAAGTGTTGACCTCAGATTGTGTTGATAAGCATGGATGTGACCCTCAAATGCTATTGGACTCCAACTCCCCTCTTTCTTGGATATTGGTCATGTTGGCTGGAGCTGCAGGGAATTGGAGTCCAACAACAGCTGTCCACAGGTTCCCCACATAAGAAGAGGCTGTTGGATCAGGACAATGACCCATCTAGTCCAGCCTCCTGTTCTCACAGTGGCCAACCAGATGCCCCAATAGGAAGCTCACAAGCAGGATTTGATCACGAGTGACTCCTGTGGTTTCCATCAACTGGAATTTAGAAGCACTGCTGCCTTCTGTGGGAGCACAGCATAGCTATCATGCCTACAAGCCATCAGTAGCCTTATCCTCCACATTTCTTTCCAATCCTCTGTTAAAGCCACCCAAGTTGGTGGCCATCACTGTATCCTGTGGGAACGAGTTCCATAGTTTAACTATGTGTGGTTGGAAGAAATGCTTGAATCTCTCGTAAGTCATCCGACATTCATTACTGAATATCCACGAGTTCTAGTATGATGAAAGAGGTAGAAAAACTTTATTGGCTTTCTTTGCACAATGCATGATATTATAAACTGGATGGACTTTGATTACATGAACCCAAGCCTGATTTAATTAATTGCTCATCTACGCAAATACTGTCATCAGTACTATCTCAAACACTCTGGCTGAGATCCAATGATGTGCTTGTGATGCAATATCTAATGCTTACAACATCTAACACCTATGACCAGAAAAACACTCCAAGTGATATTGTGGCAGATAAATATAGTATTTATGCAGCATGATTTCGGATTGTAGCAATACGATGTGGCCTTTCAGCCAGTGTTTTCATTGTTCTGGCTAAAACCTTTGCTCCTTGATCCTTAACCTGGTGAACAAACAACTCTTTTTCTGACTACCTTTGAAATGTTTGAAACATGCAATAAATGCCACCCCCCATTTGTCATGTGTAGGGGACCTGTGGTCCTCCAGATGTTGCTGGACTCTAATCATCATTACCAGTTGTTTTGCTTTTCCTGGGGGTTTATGTATATTTTCAGGGGGGTTTCCCAACCTGTGGAGCAGATTTGAGGATGGTGCAGGTCACACACAGGGGTAGAGAGGAAAAAGTTTCATTGCCCAAATTGAAGTAATTATGCTTATGCAATTATTTAGTTGAATACTGGTGCTTGCTCCTAACTTACTTAAAACAGTTATAGCCGGGCCACTTTAGTCCATGTGTTTGTAACCTCAAAGCTGGACTACTGCAATGAGCTCTATGTGGGGCAGCCCTTTTGGCCTGGTTTGGAAGCTTAAACTGGTGCAGAATGTGCTGGCCTGATGCCTGATGGGAGCATGTGGCTGATGGAGGCATCTGACTAACATGTGATACCATTGCTAAAGCATATTCACTGGCTGCCCGTCTACCAGTGAGCCAGGTTCAAGGTCCTCACATTAAAATACAAAGTCCTGAACACCTGGGGTGTATGGAGTGTTAGGGAAGGGGGCACACCTTTGGTCCCCACCCTGTACTTAGCTCTCACCTGTGGCTCCTAGAAACTCTTTAGCATGTGACAGCAACCCAGGCATGGCTTTGACTGGCCGGCTCAACCAGGTGAGAGTAGTCATTAAGTCTCAAACCCTCAGTGAGTTAGGGGCTTCCCCTGCATGTGAAGACAGGCTCCAGCAGATTGAGCAGATGAGACAAATAGTGGGTCCAAGGGTCAAGAAGGTGGTTTCTGCATGTGTTGTAGAAAGAAGTGGGGGCAGATGGATCTCATCAACCTGGGAAGGTAGCTTATGTAGGAGAAGGAAAACTCTGATCCTGATCCTCTACTGCTTTCTGGGATATCTTTTGCAGAAGAAAAGGCTAAAAAGTAAACCCTACGCAAATCCAGAGTGAGTCCGTAAGAGGCTGGATGGCATTCTCTACAGCTCCTTCTGGGAAGTCCTGAAGCCAAGCTGATGCCAAACATATGGATGGACTTTGGTTACATGAAGCCAAGCCTAATTTCAGTAATTGCTCGTGCAGGCAATTAGTGTCATCAGTACTACCTCAAACACTCTGCCTGAGATCCAATGACGTGTTTGTGATGCAATATCTCATGCTTATCACATCTAACACCCATGCTCAGAAGGTGAGCTGGTATATGATGACCAGAAAAGCACTCCAAGTGATACTGCAGCGGATAAATATATTATTTACGCAACATGACTTTGGAAGTTATGTGTGAAATCTAGGAACCCGTGACTTTATATGTGAAAAGAATTGGATTGTAGCAATAAGATGGGGCCTTTCAGCCAGCCTTTTCATTGTTCTGGCTAAAACCTTCACTCCTTGAGCCTTAACCTGGTGAACAAACAACTCTTTTCCTGATTACCTTTGAAATGTTTGAAACAGGCAATAAATCCCACCCACCCCCATTTGTCATGTGTAGGGGACCTGTGGTCCTCCAGATGTTGCTGGACTCTAACTCCCATCACTACTAGTCGTTTTGTTTTACTTTTGCAGAAGAAAAGGCTAAAGAGTAAACCCTACACAAATCCAGAGTCCATAAGAGGTTGGATGGAAATCTCTACAGCTCCTTCTGGGAACTCCTGAAGCTAAGCTGATGCCAAACATATTGATGTGCTTTGGACCACATGAGGGAGGTTTGTTGTCTGGGCAGCTCTGGATATCCATACAAACTGCCCAGGCTTGCACCCTGGAGAGGTCACATATGTGTTGCTAAAATAATGGTTTGACTTCAGCCCAAGAGGCACACTCCATTGTTTTCGAGACAGATGAATGCCAACAAGAACAGCTGAGCTGCCTTAGGGACCACCTGAACCCTTATATCTCGGCTCAGTCACTGAAATCATCTGCAGGAGCACTGTTGGTCATTTCCTGAGTTGGCGAGACTCGGATGACAACAAAGAGGAGAACCACTGAAACTGAATAAATGACAATCTCTCTTTAACCAGATCTTTGATTGATTAACCATCTATGGCTTTCAAAATGTGTGTGTGTGTGTCGGGTGTGTGTGTTATCACTTTGCTTTGCTTTTGTCTTTGTTTTATTGTGTTTTTTGCGTTTTCAAATTGTGTTTTTATGTTGTGAACTACCTTGTGATCTTTGAATGAAGGGCAATATACAAATTTAATAAATGATGGTGGTGGTGAATGGATGGATGGATGGATGGTGATTACAAGGAAGACAGACCAGATCAACAGAACAAGGCATTGCCATGAATTCAGATTTATTCATTCATATCCCAGACACCATGGGGAAAATGAAAGCATCATCCATTTCAAGAAAAAGACTCTTTCATCTGGATTTTTGAGACTGATTGAAGAGAAGAATTCCAGTTTTCTGAAGGTTGCGGGAATGAAGTTAGAAGCATCAACCTCAGTGAGGTTAACTCAGGAAGGCAACAAGCAGGCATTAAATATATATTTTTTTGACATTGATTTCAATGTCTCAGGTTTTGAGCTGGCAAACAGCAAGATGGCATTCGCTTCTGGGTATTAGGATTGCTATCAATCTTCAGATCCAAAGCCCAGGTAACAGTTTCTAAAGTGCTCAGAACTTGTACTGCTGGCAAGTATAGCGAGACTGGTTGCAATAGCCACGGCTAGAGCAACAGCATGGGGAGCAGCCACATCTGGAACAGGCTTGACGCCTGTGGCAGCAGCAGGGAGAGCAGCCACATCTGGAACAGGCTTGACGCCTGTGGCAGCAGCAGGGGGAGCAGCCACATCTGGAACAGCAGCTACGCCTGTGGCAGCAGCAGGGAGAACAGCCACATCTGGAACAGACTTGACGGCTTTGGCAGCAGCAGGGAGAGCGGCCACATCTGGAACAGCAGCTACGCCTGTGGCAGCAGCAGGGAGAGCAGCCACATCTGGAACAGACTTGACGGCTTTGGCAGCAGCAGGGAGAGCAGCCACATCTGGAACAGACTTGACGGCTTTGGCAGCAGCAGGGGGAGCAGCCACACTTAGAACAGCGGGAACTCTGGCCTCCACAACAGGACATTTTGAAGTAATGAAGCTAAAAGAAACAAATAAGGCTTTGGTGTAATCAAACCATGGTATGTTCAATATGCATTGTTCAATGTGCATCTTGGAAGTCATGATTTTCCTAAAGTGCTTTTCTGTTCAGCGTTATTTATGTCTATATTATATTTTAGCTTCTTCAGATGAATGTCAGATTGGAATGTATAATTCATTCTTATTCAGTATCCTCAAATCTCACCACTTAAGATTTTAATACGCAATCAAAATCCATAGTTTGAATGTGATTCCCCCCCCACCCTCTGAATCTGAAACCTAGGCAACTTAACACTTTCAGTCTGTTTCATATTATTTAAGCAGCCTTCAGATATGTCCACTTGCTTTCAGATGCATTTAAATAATGTTGCACACCAACCATCTAATGTCTAGAGGCATGCAATGCCCTTTCCCATTATTTACCAACATGAATAAATAAATAAGCAGTGCATGTGAGCTCAGTAACTTTTCTCATAAAATGTAAGATTGTTTGTCAACTGTCATCTATAGAAACTATCTCTAGAAAGGAGGGACACAGAGGTGGCCCTTGTGTCTTTCTCTACATGCTGCCCATCCTTCTCTCCTCTCCCCCCTTTTCAGCTCTAGATTGCTCTGGGTGGACCCAATTGGATATGGAGCAATCAGGATACTTCGACCCAATCTGGACAAGTCCAGTATCAACTTTAATCTGCTTGTTTAAGCTCAAAATCTGACTAGATCCAGAACAAAGCCCTCAGAACGATCCCATGGATTTCACACTTCCTTGAGTTTGCCTATCCAGTAAAGGTAAAGGGACCCCTGACTGTTAGGTCCAGTCGTGACCGACTCTGGGGTTGCGGCGCTCATCTCGCTTTATTGGCCGAGGGAGCCGGCGTACAGCTTCCGGGTCATGTGGCCAGCATAACTAAGCCGCTTCTGGCGAACCAGAGCAGAGCACGGAAACACCGTTTACCTTCCCGCCGGAGCGGTACCTATTTATCTACTTGCACTTTGATGTGCTTTCGAATTGCTAGGTTGGCAGGAGCAGGGACCGAGCAACGGGAGCTCACCCAGTCACAGGGATTCAAACCACTGACCTTCTAATCGGCAAGTCCCGCATCCCTTTGCCTATCCAGTATTAGGTCAGTATTCAGAAATTATCTGAACAGTTTCAGAAGATTTAAATGGTTGCCACTGGAAATGTATGGTTCTCGACCACAGCAAAGAGCACATCAAAAATCAAGCAGTAAAGCAGACAGACTGATGGATCTGATCCTTCACGTATTATTAGTGGATCCGTCCAATAACACAAATTTCAGGACTGAGGTTCTGGAAGACATTTTATGCCACCTAAATGATCCAGCTTCCCAGCAGTTGAATTGAACTTACCTTGCACAGCAGTCAGAACTTGTCAGGTCAATGGAGATTCAAGTCATCGAGTGAAGAGCTCAGAGACAGATGTTCCTTTTGTAGAGCTCCAAGAGCCCTGCCTCCTCGAAAATGAAGCACTACCAATGAATGAACTCATGCTTCATTGCTACTCAAAGCACATGTCTATGTGTTGCATGCACTATCTACCAATCACATATTCGTAGAGTTTATCCACATCTTCCACTATGACAGCATTTCCCCAAGGTCTGTAATTAGGTAGCATTTGATGCTTATCACGCTATAATCCTCACATCGCACACACTCTGCGGAGGTAACTTCAGAAGTGTGGTTTCTTGAATAGCAACACTGGCAAGAATGGAATGGACCTTCTCATTGGATCCATCCCCATGACTCAACAGCGCAGGATTGCTCAGTAGTTTGTTATTCCGCCTGAGCTTCATTGCTTAGACTCAGAAATTCATTTTAATCTATTTGCTGCGGTTAGCCAGATGTGTCTATTCTGATAGGTCAAAAAGGAAAGATGAGATCAACATCTCAAAGAAGTCAGGGTATTTTTTCCTCCTCTGTTGTGAGCCATCCCCTCACCCCCCAAATGATACCATAAGAACATTAACAGAGTCTACTGGATCAACTCAATGGCTCATCTAGTCCACTATCCTGTTCTCACAGTGGTCAACCAGATGTCCATGGGAAAAGTGGAAGCAGGATTCAATCACAATAATACCCTCTGCTCCTTTGGGCTTCAGCAACAGAATTTTGTCTTTCTCACTGTCTCATTAGAGGACCTGTGTCATGTTCCGCATCATACAAGAAAAAGCCAACCATTAACAAAAGACTCGTTTCTTTATTTGCCTTCACAATTCTACCTGTCATTTTTAATTGCTTCTCTCTGGGTAAGGATGGAGAGCATGTCAATGTTGGCTTTGCTGTATTGGTTATATGTCCAATGCTTTGGTTACATGAGTAAACATAGGATCGTAGCCAACTAAGTTATATAGAGAACAGACCTATGCAAATCAAAGATTCTAAGTCCAGCACTGAATTTAGTGCTGTGCTGGTGATTCCCTTGCACATGGCCCACAAAGATAGATGATAGGTGTCAGGGACTGGGCAGAGGAGGAATGGTGGAGACCCCCTCCCCAGCCTGACCCTTCCAGAGAAGAGGAAGAGAGTTCAGAATTACAACAGAGGTTTGAGAGAGGTCACAGCTCATAGGCAGATGAGGTGAAAAGTTGGGGAATAATGAGAGAGGAGGAGGAGGAGGAAGAAGAAGAAGAAGAAGAAGACGAAGCACCAGGGAGTGACAGCTGACAGACACAGTGTCCTTAGAAAGCATTCCAGACCCCGCTCTCCCAGAACCCAGCAAGCCTTGAAAGTAGGAGAGCAAAGAGCTCAAAGACAGAGGGCACTCATCAGCACCAGTAGTAGAGGTGATGAATATTATGAATGAGGAAGTGGGAAGACGGGGGTAGGGGGGAGATTCAGTTAGGACAACACCATAATTCAAGAAGCTGGGTTCTAAAGCCTCTCTCTCTCTTTCTCTTTCTCTCTCTCTCTGTAATACTGAATAAAAAGCAGATGGTAACAACATTCCTTGTCTTTGTACGTTCCTCAACAACCAGCCATGGAAGTTGCTGACAGCAGCCTGACAATAGGTTGCTCAGATTGCACATGAATCAGCCCTGCATTTCACACACAGCCCCAGCCTTTTCCAATTTTTCACCCAACTTGAATGAATACATCAATGCAAGGAGTGGACAAGAGAAGTCCTTCTGGCTGGAGCTGTGGGGAATTGGAGCCCAACAACAGCTGTCCACAGGTTCTCCCCATCAGAAGAGGCTACTGGAGCAGGACAATGGCCCATCCAGTCCAGTATCCTGTTCTCACAATAACCAACCAGATCTCCCAACTGGTAGCTCACCATCAGGATCTGAACACCTGAGTGACTCTACCCTCCTGTTGTGTCCAGAATCTGGCATTCAGAAGCACTGCTGCCTTGAATTGTGGAGGCACAGCAATGCCATCATGGCTACTGGCCAATCCTCTCTTAAAGCCACCCAAGTTGGTGGCCATCACTGCCTCCTGTGTGAATGAATTCCATAGTTTAACTATGTGTGGTTTGCTTGTATCGACCCTGAATCTTCCAATATTCAGCCTTTTTAGATGTCCATAAGTAGTAGAATTACGAGAGAAGGAGAAAACGATTTTCCCTATTGGCTTTCTCCAATACATAGACACGGGTGGTGCTGTGGGTTAAACCACTGAGCCTAGGACTTGCCAATCAGAAGGTTGGTCGTTCGAATCCCCGCAACTGGGTGAGCTCCTGTTGCTCGGTCCCTGCTCCTGCCAACCTAGAAGTTTGAAAGCACAAAGTACAAGTAGATAAATAGGTACCGCTCTGGAGGGAAGGTAAACGGCGTTTCCGTGCGCTGCTCTGGTTCGCCAGAAGTGGCTTAGTCATGCTGGCCACATGACCCAGAAGCTGTACGCCGGCTCCCTTGGCCAGTAAAGTGAGATAAGCGCCGCAACCCCAGAGTCGGTCATGACTGGACCTAATGGTCGGGGTACCTTTACCTTTACCTTTTTAATGCCATGTCACCTCTATCGCAGCTTTCCTCTACACTAAACTGTCCCAAATGTTGCGTATCTCTGAGAAGGAGGAGGATTGGCAAACAAGAAGAAAGGGTGTGTGTCTTTCATGTTCTGCTTATTTGCACCTTGCTGTCTTCTATTGAAAACAGAACTCTGTACCGGATGGACTTTGGTTAGATGAAGCCAAGCCTGATTTTAGTAATTGCTCTTCTATGCAAGTACTGTCATCAGTACTACCTCAAACCCTCTGGCTAAGATGCAGTGATGTGCTTGTGATGCAAGACCTCATGGTTATCACACCTAACACCCATGCTCAGAAGATGAGCTAGAAGTTATGTGTGAAATCTAGGAACTCATGACTTTATATTTGAAAAGAATTGGATTGTAACAATATGATGTAGCCTTTCAGCAATCATTTTCATTGTTCTGGTTAAACCTTGACTCCTGGAGCCTTAGCAGCATAGTAGACAAACAATTCTTTTTCTGACTACCTTTGAAATGTTTGAAATATGGAGAAGGCATCCCCCATCCCCTGTTTGTCATGGTTAGGGGATCTGCGGTCCTCCAGGTGTTGCTGGACTCTAACTCCCATCATTACCAGCCGTTTTGCTTTTTCTGGGGGTTTATGTATATTTTCAGGGGTTTTCCCCAACCTGTGGAGCAGATTTGAGGATGGTGCGGGTCACACACAGGGGTGGTTAGGGGGAAAGTTTCATTGCCCAAGTGGAAGTCATTATACTTATGCAATTATTTAGTCGAATACTGCCATTTGCTCCTAACTAACTGAAAACATGACCACATGTGTGTAACCTCAAGGCTGGAAAACTGCAATGTGCTGTATGTGGTGCTGCCCTTTTGGCCTAGGTTGGAAACTTCAGCTGGTGCAGATTGTGCCAGCTACATTGCTGATGGAGGCATCTGGCTCATGGAGGCATCTTGTAATACGATTGTTAAAGCTATTCACTGGCTGCCCATCTACCCCTGAGGCAGGTTCAGGGTCCTTGTGTTACTTTACAAAGCCCTGTACAGCTGAGGTCCAGAGACCACCTGAACCCTGGTATCTCAGCTCAGTCACCAAGATCATCTGTAGGAAGAGCATTGTTGCTCTTTTCCTGAGTTGG